GCTTGCATTATGCTTTTAACATGTTAATAAAACTTCAATTGTTCCGTAAATTGGCTTTCTCCACAGACAATAGCAGCACTGGTGCCTGCGACGCCAAGTGCGTTGCGAACGTCGACATTCATCTGACAGCGTTAAAGAGTGTATTCAACAAAATGAGGTCGCACACAAAGAGATTGTAGAGGTCCTCGGGAAACCACGAACGCAAGACTTCCGCCTTGAGGGAAAAACGCTGCAGCGTGCGAGCGAGACAGCCGTGTGATAGAGACAGCCGCGGATTACAATGTCTGCGCGTACGTGCGGATCTTGATACGTGTTCTGCTTGACCTGAAAAGGTTAGTCTCCTTTCATCTTTTAACGGTTTGTTTAGTGCCAGTATCTTTGTGGTAAATCATGTTTTCAAGTGTTCAGACGCATATGTGTCTACGATCTTATTCGACCCAGTATTTTTCAATAAACAAAAACATTTTAAAATGATTACATTGCACCCAGTATTTTTCAATAAAAAAAAACATGATTACATTACCATTTCTGCTGGAAGCTTTTTATACCCTTATTTAATAAAATAACCTGAAAAGCGCCTAAAATACAGAACAAAGGGAAAGTAAAATTGTCCCCGTAAAGATAACGGCCGATACGCTTATCTACAGACGAGCAATGAAATCATTTCCACTGATACAGCGCTCGTGGAATACAAACAAGGTCAATACAAAATGTAAGTAAGTTTACTGAATCAAGTATATTTAAATTGAAAACATACTCACAAACGGTAGTTTCAAATCACAACCTAGGGTCTATTTGAATCAAGAAGAATTCTAGCCCATTCTGTTACTTTATGTCCAGTTTATCCAGAAATAGGCTATCTCTAGATAAGACTATTGTACAAGTTGATAAGAATAGAATAACTTGAAATACAGATAATGATAATTGTAGAAAGAAAGTTGCTTTGTGATCTTGTCACGGACAACAGCAAAGCAGTATTTGTAAATACATAAAAAGGAACAAGAGTTCAATCAAATAGAGAAAGGACAAATATTTACGAAGAGAAATCCGCTGAACTGACGACATAATCAAACAACAACAATAAACAGCAATTTAATCTATATATATAAAAATGAAACCCGTTTCGCGTTGTCACGGCATCACGTGTGAACGGCTGAACCGATTTCGATAATTCTTTTTTTTAAATGTTTGTGGAAGTCCAAGGATGGTTCTTACGGAAAAAAATATTAAGAAAATCTCTACGCTAAGGCGGTACGAAGTTCGCCGGGTCAGCTATAATCAATATTGATAATTGCATGATTCAGTCAACTGTGAGGTCATGCTACGATGTGGAGTCATGAAGAGCGACTATTTGCAGTATTCAGTGAATCGCATTAACTTCATTTTCATTTAAAATGTTGAAGTTAGACTTTAGGGACACCTCCGAGCTTCTGACGATATTCAATAGAAGACCTAACGGTTCCCACGAATACTTTTTATGGGACAAAGAAGTGATTTTATACCTAAAAAGATCCAAAAAAACGTGTATTTTTATGAAAGACACTTTAGGAAAACAGCCAATTTTGAATTCGAAAAGTAACGTTGACGTTTGGCTTGTGTTACATTATCGAATATTAAAAATCGCGCCATCAGTAAGTAATATGGGTCGCCTCGTCAAATCAATACTTGACGTCGTCTGCCCAGTCAGGCAATCACGCACGGCTGAACCAGTGATTAGTTCACCGTCTATCAGTAATTGAAGTATAGATTGCCTTGTAATAGTTGTTAGCCGGTGGGCGTGAAAACACCCTTGATAACGCAAGAACTATGTAAAACCTAGGCGTATCTATTCTTATCCTTCTTCTTCTTTTCGTGTCGACAACAAACCTACACATTGCCAGCCCAAGACTCCGCCACAAGAGTGGCGTTGTCAGTAGCACTCATCAAATCCTCCTGAGTGCAGTTGCTTGGACACTCAGGGCACGACATCTATTAGATAGAGGGCGTATCTATTACTAACAGTATTCTTTCAATAATTTACATTGGACACTATGATCACCCATTCTCTTGCCTCGCACGATGTATTTGTGCTATGTTGATTTTATTGTAGTCTTTCTACTCGGGCATATTCCGTACACGGTCAATGCTCTTAAAAAATATGTTTAACATAAACAAGACTACGTAAACCTACAAAAAAATCGTTTTTGCTTTATTCCAGCAACATCTTAAATAAGAAGATCCAGATTATTTATCTCCATGTTTTAATCATTGGATTAACACTCCATGATTTATTATCAGATTGTGAGCACACGGTGTTTTAACCAACTTTTTGCAGATCAGCCATACCGGGTAAAAAAGAAGCTGTAATTCTAGTATAGGCGGGTCAACGACCTGACATGCGCGTGAGCAAAATACCTCTTCAGATTTAAGTTAACACGATCAACGCTACGCTAAATGTGTGTTTATACATAAGTTTTCAAAGTAGGCTACGTTTTAGCCGTAGCTACAGTTAGGTATCCATTTGCATAATGCAGTATGCGGTCGGCTGAAGTTTTATAGCCCCAGTGGAGTGTTATTAAAAAATTACCTTCGTAACATAAATTTTAGATACGTAACATGAGCAATTGTAACGTTATGTGGTTATTTTTATACGCTTAATTGTACTTGGCGTGAGCTTCCGTTTTAGTTTTGTTTGAAACTTATTAGTATTTTATGTGCAATTGCACACGCAAGTTTCAAAAACATGGATAAGCCAAGCTGTTGGATCTCTTTGACGACGAATTCAATCATGATTGAATTCTGCCATATTGTAATGTCAATAATTATTAAGCAACAAGTAGGTGAACTGAACTCTGGTTGTTTAACGATCCAATAATACGCGTTATTGTTCTCATGTAAACATTACAATCGATAATATTAAATTGGATATTGAATGAGCACCAGCAAACAAATGTGTACTTTAAACTATTAAATCCAGAATTCAATCTACCACGTTTTAGTTTCCATGATGGGAGTTTTCCGACCCGCCGGCCGCTAGGGTGCATGACGGAGGGTGTTCTGGAAAACTAAGCTAGGTGAGGCACGACCCCCTAACCCCCTACCACCCCTTATGACTATTACCAATGTTCATTTACAACGAATGGGCTATTTTTTCGATATTATTGCCCTACTTTTTCGAGGGTGGAAAGAGGGTTTCATTAAAATAAATATTGGCTTTGATTGGACAGGGTTTATTAACACGGACTGAAGTAATATCGGTCGGTGAACGTGATGATCCGAAGTCAATCATGAATGTTTATCGTTCCAGTTATTTTTGCAGAATTTCGTGCTCAAAAAGTTGCTTTCAAAAACTTTATTAATCTCATCTTAGTATTAGCAGGGGTAAAACAATAACTATCTGAAACGAATTAGCTTTAGCGTGTTGTGGAGTGAGGAAGCAATTATCAGAGTGCATTATCATTCTTCTCATACGCTCCTTCCTATATTCGTGTTTGCCGACTCTACAGCTCATCAATGACCATCTTTGTTACAAAAATGCAATTTGATTGTATCTGCTTTGTGCCCGCAACACCGGCGCTTGCGCCACCCGAGGTGATGCGAATCAGAGCATCCCAAACGAACGACACGTGTATTTTGAAATCCAATCGACATTGAAAACGTAAATGCAAATCGGAACAAACCAGTAAGTACTTACTTCACATATTTGCTCAAATGTTTGCTTATTGCCAACAAAAACAAATACTACCGCGATCGTAAACATTAAACATATCGAATCGCTAAATAAACGATTCTTTGCGTCACGACATTCTTCAGGAGATATGTGATTTATTGGCGAAGTATGGTTAAATCGGACTCATTTTGTCTAATTTGTGAGTCTCCGAGACGTTGTTGAAAATTGCAATAAAAAGATATTACTTATTATTGTTTTAAGCAATGCTTTCATGACTTGGACGATTTACGAAGTTAATCGTTCTATTTATTGTAGTTACATAGTTTATTTATCTTAATAAGTATATGTTTCGAACTAAAATGAAAAATAAATTCACTGCAATATCCAGTCGGGTTCAAAAACTGAGTCATTCAATCATTGGTAAATACTTTCTGCAATTAGTAATACCTATTAGTAAACAACAAATGCAATCAATAAATCAAAATGCACACACATTCGTGTTTAGTATCTTTATTTTAACTGTAACGAGGACTTTTTAAGTATCGCTTCTGTATTTTCAAAGACTACTTCGTTCTTCCTATTGGATTCTTTCTTGAAACTAGAGCAAGGACGGTTTCAAAGGTCCTTTGTGTTCGAACACTTCCTATAATTAAAAATACAATATGCATAATTAATTATGTTCCACAAAGACTTGAAATATTGTAATTTACATGTAGTTTTATCTTTTTCAGTATTGTAAGATGTAACAATAAGTAATTATTTAATATAACGAGCAAATATTATTAACACATAGTTAAAAATACCAATTATTACTTGATCCGATAATAATTAACGCAACTAAAGCAATTAAAACAGTGATGATGCTCAACTTTAGCTTCAATCAGTATTTTTAATACATGTTCAATTTAGTATTAGCTGAAGGTAGAGCGTCAATAATTATCGATTTTTTATTCACAACTTCAATTCTTCAAAAGGCGTTTTTACTATAGGATTCCTATAAACTTCAGGGAACAACGGTTATGTGTGTCTCCAGGAATCAGACAACAGAATAGCCACTTAGGAGGTGTGTCAGGAATAATTCAGGATGACTATAGTTGATAAGTGCTACCATATCGACCAAAGTCAGCAGTTTGGTGGTCTTGATTGGTGATTTTATTTCCCATGCTTTTAGTTTCCAAGAGAGTACATAGTAGTGATTGTGAAGGAGTGTCACGTCTCGTGATCCATGTGTGATTTTTTATGAAGAAGTCACACCAGCACCACTTATGCTACTCCAGGAATCAACCTACTTAATAGTAACTTAAGTAGGACAGCGTTTAGGTCAAACAGTAAAGAAACGACTATTATTTACCTTTCTTTCTCGTGTGCCGACTGCGGGTACTGCAGAACGGTCTGCTGCCCCTCCATTTCCACCACGCATTGTGTCCCAAGTTCGAGTTCTGAAAGGAAAATTTAATAATTAAGATCACTTGTTTGAGTTACTGTTTAAACGGTAAATTGAACAGTAGGTAAATAGGATCTATTTTTATCCAATATAGCCTTCTTACGTCACCAATGTTTAGACACAAACAAAGATATTAAAGGTCGTTGTTGTTACATAAAACACGAGGAAAGAAATCTATCAAAGAGAAAATTACAGTGAGACTATGGGACGTAAGAAAATTTATCGACGTCCAATAAAATAAAATAAAATAAATATTAGTCAACATAATTCAGGATTAAGTGGATGAAAGTATAATTAAGTGGATAAATAAATAATTAAGTGGATGAGGAACTCGAACAGCCGAAGAATCAACCTGACAACTAAAACAGTGATCCAGTTATTCAGTAAATACTAGTTTAGACATACATAAGAACGTTTCTCTACAAACAAGTCTCAAACGGCCATACAACTTGAACTACTAGACCAACAAAACTATGGGCGATCGTTACTTCATTGATTCGACCTGCCCCAGTTTCGCTGAATTATATCGGGTTATTGATCGAACGTAATCAATTACTGAGCTGCGAAGGCGATGTATCATAAAAAGTTTTGGTATACTGCAGGAGCGACCACTGTTAATAAATTAATGAGTTATCTACTATCTGTAGCTGCATTTGATTGAAAAAGAGGCTGACAAAGGTGACTGAGTTTCTTTCTTCACTTCTTCTCAGCACCAGCCCATATTATGTTGTCACGAGGTGGTGATAGGAGGGCAAGCCACATTTTGGGACGTGTCATACTGTATAAGCGCTCTGAAAAGGACCTAAATAGGTACTGAATAAAATCTTGGAATTTGGAGTAACTGCAATTTTTCTGACATATCCCGCTTTTGTCAGAGAAAATTTTAAAGTCAGCAAGACTTTCCACGCTTGACCAAAGTCCTAAAATATCTAATGTGGACAAGAAATTGTAGGAAATTAAAAAAAAATTGTGAAATAAATTAAAATAACTGCGATTTTTAAAGAGAAACGTATTTTTTTACTGGTACCCAACCATTTTAATGCTGCATAGACGTTATTTTCTCACCAAGGAGTCTACCGAGAAGCCATTTTTCTCCTCCTAACGTTCCTAACTATATTGGAAAATGTTATGATTGAATATTACTTTGCTGGTGCTGGGCGGTGAGCGGGTAATCATATTTTTATCGCAACTAGGTGATTTTTATTTCATTTATGAGCTGTTCAGGCTACTTTATTGAAATCAAATGCTACTAAAGAAACGATTTTCTCACATAGAAAATTGGTTTGGGAGAGTTTGTAATCAAATACACACGATACGATTATTAAAAGATAATGATAGATAAGAATATGTAAATTTCAATAATAATACAACACTACAACAAATAATAATGAGTCAGTTCTTATTGGAAATTAAAGTCGGCTTGGAAAAGAAAATTCTCATTAGAGCCATTAGACTAAAACCGAGATAGCTATTGAATATTCGGAAAGCATTCGACTTATGTTTAAACTCACACTCCGCTGAAGATCTCGCGAGCTGTCAAGGGTGCTTGGATTCCCTGGATCCCCGTTAAATTGCGGGCGCCCTTAGAACGATGTTTTCACTTAAACATTAATTCCAGAAAATACTAATGGTGAAGGTGCTCCGAGTGTCCTTGTGAAAAATTTTAGGCGTCTAGACGTTCTAAGTCTTAACTGAAGTTAAACAAACAGAGGGAAGCTGTACCTTAGTCCCGTTTTTCGGAGTCATCAATTTATTACATAATAGCAACTTTGCTGTATGAAATTCTTGTTTTTAACTACATATAGGAGCTTTATTCTCAGCAATTGTTGTCTGTTTTTTCGCAAAAGTGCGTCTTCAAAACTGTCACGGGCACAAAGTTTATGATGAAATTATTTTAACCATTTCACAGCTTTATTGCAATTCCTTTTACAGCGGAAAGGCAGGCTAAGAAAGGCGATACCAACGGTAATAAGTCATTTAACTAAGCACTAAGTCTAATCCGAGATCAGGCTGTTGATAAACAGAACTTGCTCTCGAGTTACAGAGCGTAACATCAAGTTTCGGTCGCTTTCCACTCCCCTGAAAGTTTTGTCCCGGTTTTGTACCGACAATTATCAAGTTGCCACTAAAGCCGTTAGCAAGTGTAGATTTTAAGTTATAATGAGATATAATTAGTATCTAAATTATTTAAGATTCAAAATAACAGGACGTTAGGTGGCTTAGATTGAACTCCAGTCAACTTAATGTGCCATGACGTCCGTTGCAAAGCTGCTGACGTATTTCATCATCTTCTGCACAGGCTACTATAGTTAGGTTACAGATGTACGAGCGCAGGCGCAGGCCGAAATAACGGTCTTGATTCTGTGAAAACCGACAATTACCTATGAAATTTTAACATTTAAAATAAAGAGCACTATGCCAATTCAACTATTATTTCATAACGTACTTATATAGTTATTACTAGAAATGTAATATTTGTTTGAACGAGAGGCAATTCAAGCATACCATCATAATAATAAAACAAAAGCAGAGTTTACAAAATAAAAGTAACGTAATCCAAGTAGGTATAAGAGTAGGTGAGTCAACTGAGGTCGGCGGTACGTCCGAGCTCTAACAAATCCGGTTCTCTATGCACACCGACTTATGTTAAACAAACGGAATATGTACGACCGGCTAGACGACTGCACAGACCGATACTTACCTTTGAATTGTTTGTTTTCCACTGTTGGAATATTAAAATTTTGGAATAAGAAAGTCCACTCTGTTTCTTGGTTATTTTGTGTAATAACCCCTCTGTTTCTTGGTTCTTTTGTGTACTAACCCCCTAATAAGTTTAACTTTTGTAAATCTTATAAGAATTCAGAAGGCATTATGAGGTTACGACCCATTTAAAAGCAAGTATGACATTCGTTTCACTTTCAAGACAAACTAATCAAGCATCGTCGTAATGAGACCGCAGATGATGTTCTTGCAACACCTAAAATCGATTTAAAGCCGACCAAAATTACGTAAAGACGTTACGCCGAAAGTAGCACGCGGCAATCACAAGTCGGATACAAGTGCATTTACCATGACGGCTAACGGAACGCCAAGTGCGTTTTGATATGATTTTTAAATATTTTTATCATAATTAAAGTTAAGCGGGCGTTATGATATGTGGTACAAAACGTTATGGTCTGTTACCTACTCACAAAAAATATATGCGTCGATTTAAGAACCTACAGAAGTTACAAAATTTTAATCAGTAATGGAAAAATGGGTTACATAGGCACAAGCTGCTTCAGTTGTCAAAATGTTATTTAATTTACAAGAAAAAGTAATAACAAATCTTTGTCTCAATCAAATGGTGCCACTGCTAGACAAAAGAACCCCTATAGATTTCTAAGACCATTTAGACCAGTCTTGTGTAGGTGCTGCCCAAATTCACCATTAAAATGTCTTACAAAATCAAAATTCAAATACATATCTAAGTGCACCACAAATTTTTTGTCCAACTAGGAAGATATTAACCCAATTTTTACAACTATTTATAACTTAGATAACTATAAAGCAAATAAAAGATACAGGTTGTCAAATATTTCCTGAGAGATAAAACAAGGTGTTTGAACTGTAACAAGAAGTTTATTTCTCAATATTTCTGATATTGACTTAATCTAAGCTTGTTTGTTTAAATGGCTTGTTTTTATTTTTAACATGAAATAATAACTAAGTTATATTAAAGAAATAAAAGAGTAACTGGACGTAAGCTGTTTATTGATTTGAGACTTAAATCTCTGTTCAAGTGCACTCAAAGCTGACACATCCACCTTCTGATTGCACTTGTTTATCCAAATTGTCAGATACATTTATAAATAATAGCATAAAAATGTATGTTGAAGTGTTTTGTTTCTCCTTTCTCTGACAAGAAGGGAGAACCTGAATGAAACCATTGATATATTTATAGAATGAAGCCCCCCAAACCCTTGATTCCTCTTGCTTCGGGATAAATCTTATTTCATTTTGTGTATAATTCAGTAGGTCTGAGAATAGGGCGTAATCATTTTTAGGGTTTTCATAGCTTACAGTTCTTCTCTATAAATATTTCTTTGAAGCCATTGAAAAATTATTCTGAAATCACAATTCATATAGGTTTTATTCCAATAAAAACTATTAGTTCAACAATGACAAAAATTAAACATAAACATGACTGTTTCTATAAAATGATACATCACATTTGAGTAATAAAAAATTAAGGTCAGGAAATCTATTTTTTAAACCTAATTTAGTATGTACACTTTGGTGTAAAGAAAGTAGGGTCATTCCATGACAAATGTTACCGAGGGTGAAAAACTAAATATGTTCTTTTCGCATTAAATCTGATGAATTTTGAAAGTAAACATTCCAAATTATAATGTGCAACAAAAAAAAACTGAAA